TGTTCAGCCATCACTACTTTTCCAAAGCATTCTGCCCAACCCTGATCACATGATATATAAACCCAGATGTGTTCAGATCTGATCAGCTTGATTTTCTCCTCTCTCTCAGAGATGAAAGCTTTAAGTGCTGTTTATCTGATGGGGGCAGTTTTGGGGTCGACCAGCTCTTCCAGGTGGTTGTTAGGAGACACATTGTCTCTGTAGCTTTTGAACTCCTTCATTGTAGAAGTGAATTATCTCATATCTGATCTCCTCACAAACATCTGAAGAATGAAGAACTTGCACTTCATCACTATTTCCCATCATCAACATTCCATATAAACTCAGAAGACTCGTGTAGGTTCACTGGTGGTTCTGGATAGTAAATAAAATGTCTATATTTGTGTTGTAGTCATGGCGACCCCTGGTTCCTATCACCACCACTGTAAAGACATCTGAACCATTTCACCCCAAACCACTCTGAATCTCTCTGTTCACATCTCACGCACTGAATTATGGGGAAAATGAATTAGAATTATTGGTATTAATGTGACGAGTGAGACCGAACTTTTAACGCTGCAAGGAAACAAATGAAATGAGCAAATAAAGCCACGTAACAGCATCGAGCGCAGAAACTGGCCTGAATATTCAGAGCCGCATGTTTAAGAATGGATGAGTTCGACCCGAAATGAAGCGGCGGTTTGAGTTTATGATACGATTTGGAACAATACGCCACGGAACGCTGTGATCCGGAAGCCCGACGTGTTCATTACGGACGGTTTGGTGTGAAAATGGTCCGTCATTAAAGGCAGAGCTTCTCCGCCGCTGGTGGAGATGAAACGGAATGGCGCTCTTTTGATATCGTATGATAAGGAGGGCGGATAAATCAGAGGGGGGAAAGTAAACAATGATGAAAAATGTTATCACTTTTTATTTCTGCTCGTTTTTTGAAAGCGACACGCTCTTATTAGGCCCTGAAAAGCGGCCGCGCGCCGACTGTCGCCGGATGGATAATTGCAGGCGGCCGCTGCGTAATTCGTTCTAATTATTATTTACAGTTTGCCAGCCCAGCTCACTAATTACACACAGCTCGTGCATAATATTATTCTAATTTAAATTCTCTCTACAGCTCGGAAACGTTTCTAAAGGCAGCTCACAGACACTCCTGCTCTACCTCCGCCGCTCGTCCGCCGCTCTTCATTTTCCTCCGTGAGCGCGGAAGTGAAACAAGGCGCATTAATCTGAATATTAAGCTGTGATATTCTCACCGAGGCGGTTTGTTAAGGAATCAGTGAGCGTAATAAGGCGGCCGAGGACGGCGACGTGCTGTCTGATGAATAGCGGGACGAGTCTGCGGCTGCTAATAAAAAGGTTAACGAGAGGTTAATTCAGAAAGGGACTTCGTAAACACGAGGAAAACCTTGATTCATTATGCAAATGTGATTTAAGCAAAAAGAAAAAAAAAAACCGCCCCCATGCTAATGAGCGGCTCACGTTCTCTGGGCGGTGAATCGCGAGCGGCCGTTTGATGTGGAACCAAAGGAGGACGAAGCGGTTCCGCCTCATTTCAATTAGAGCAGCTGTGCGTGAACGAGAGAGTTCAGATTACACGGAAATACATTAAGAGTCTTAAATGAGGCGTTTAAGAGCGTAAGACGCGCAGCTGCGCTCCTGTTTACGCTCCGCATAGTGGAGATAATATAGCTGTACATATATATATATATATACGAGACCTTATGATGAAGCCCATTAACGAGTGTCCGTGAATGTGAAAGAGAACAGTCTGTGTCTATTAGTAAGCATTAGCTCTTTGTTGAGTTCGCTAAGGAAATGTTAGGTAACTAATGCTAACATTATTAGCACGTATGCTAGCCCCGTCCTATTTCCCGCCCCACCTGCTCGCGAATGTCCAGTCTTGTTCTCGGGGCTGGACAGTGGGCAGGTGAGTGTGTTGTTGTTTTGGTGTTTGGAGTCCAGGCTCAGCTGGAGTCAGGCTAACGCGACCTGGCAGGCCAGCGCGAGGACGTCCAGCTCATAAAACATTTAGCACAGCTGCTCCCAGCTGCCTTCATACAGTGTGTGCAGCAGCGCTGAGGCTGCAGAAGAACCGAGTCCCACACTGTTCCACTGCTGTTCTCCTCCCGAGCTCCACTGTGAGGGTTTATTACCAAACACAGTCAGAACTCAGTTCCACATCATCGTTTTCCAGCTTCTCTCTGGGTGGAGTTTACAGTAAGATTAATGGGTGGAGCTAAACTGCTGTAGCTGAATGGTGGAGCTAAACTGCTGTAGCTGAATGGTGGAGCTAAACTGCTGTAGCTGAATGGTGGAGCTAAACTGCTGTAGCTGAATGGTGGGGCTAAACTGCTGTAGCTGAATGGGTGGAGCTAAACTGCTGTAGCTGAATGGTGGAGCTAAACTGCTGTAGCTGAATGGGTGGAGCTAAACTGCTGTAGCTGAATGGGTGGAGCTAAATAATATAATTGAGAATAGAGAAGAATAATACAATAAATAAAATAATTATGATTGGTTAGCCTGTGGTTGATTAGCATATGATTGATTACGTCGTAATCGAATCATGTGTGATTGGATAGCTTGTAATTGGATCATGTATGATCAGATAGCTTGTAATTGGATCATGTATGATTGGTGAGCTTGTAACTGGATCATGTATGATTGGATAGGTTGTAATTGTATCATGTATGATCGGATAGCTTGTAATTGGATCATGTATGATTGGTGAGCTTGTAATTGGATCATGTATGATTGGATAGGTTGAAATTGGATCATGTATGATCGGCGAGTTTGTAATTGGATCATTTATGATTGGATATGTTGTAATTGGGTCATGTATGATTGGATAGGTTGTAATTTGGTCATGTATGATTGGATATGTTTTAATTGAGTCATGTATGATTGGATAGGTTGTAATTGGGTCATGTATGATTGGATAGGTTGTAATTGGGTCATGTATGATTGGATAGGTTGTAATTGGTCATGTATGATTGGATAGGTTGTAATTGGTCATGTATGATTGGATAGGTTGAAATTGGGTAATGTATGATTGGATAGGTTGTAATTGGTCATGTATGATTGGATAGGTTGTAATTGGGTCATGTATGATTGGATATGTTTTAATTGGGTCATGTATGATTGGATAGGTTGTAATTGGGTCATGTATGATTGGATATGTTTTAATTGGGTCATGTATGATTGGATAGGTTGTAATTGGGTCATGTATGATTAGATAGGTTGTAATTGGGTCATGTATGATTGGATAGGTTGTAATTGGTCATGTATGATTGGATAGGTTGTAATTGGTCATGTATGATTGGATAGGTTGTAATTGGGTCATGTATGATTGGATAGGTTGTAATTGGTCATGTATGACTGGATAGGTTGTAATTGGGTCATGTATGATTGGATAGGTTGTAATTGGTCATGTATGATTGGATAGGTTGTAATTGGGTCATGTATGATTGGATAGGTTGTAATTGGGTCATGTATGATTGGATAGGTTGTAATTGGTCATGTATGACTGGATAGGTTGTAATTGGGTCATGTATGATTGGATAGGTTGTAATTGGGTCATGTATGATTGGATAGGTTGTAATTGGTCATGTATGATTGGATAGGTTGTAATTGGGTCATGTATGATTGGATAGGTTGTAATTGGGTCATGTATGATTGGATAGGTTGTAATTGGTCATGTATGATTGGATAGGTTGAAATTGGGTAATGTATGATTGGATAGGTTGTAATTGGGTCATGTATGATTGGATAGGTTGTAATTGGGTCATGTATGATTGGTCAGTCTACAGTTTGTGAACTCGTGATTGTCAACATCAGTGATACAGGCTAGTAAACATTAGCAGTGCCGGCTCATATATGAGATGATCAGTGGTTGTGTCTGAAAACACTGAGAAACAGTCTGATCAGTTCAGTACAAACATTCAGAGTCTGATATTAGACTAATCTAATAGATCCAGTATCAGAGTCTGATATTACATTAAACTAATAGATTCAGTATTGGAGTCTGATATTAGACTAAACTAATAGATTATTCAGTATTGGAGTCTGATATTAGACTAAACTAATAGATTATTCAGTATTGGAATCTGATATTAGACTAAACTAATAGATTCAGTATTGGAGTCTGACATTAGACTAAACTAATAGATTCGGTATTGGAGTCTGATATTAGACTAAACTAATAGATTCAGTATTGGAGTCTGATATTAGACAAAACTATCGAGTGATCGCTAGTTATCATATGATCGTATCTGTCAGTTGATCTAGACTAAACTAATAGATTATTCAGTATCAGAGTCTGATATTAGACTAAACTAATAGATTATTCAGTATCGGAGTCTGATATTAGACTAAACTAATAGATTATTCAGTATCAGAGTCTGATATTAGACTAAACTAATAGATTCAGTATCGGAGTCTGATATTAGACTAAACTAATAGATTATTCAGTATTAAAGACGTTATCGGTTCAGGAGAAAAGCTCTCTGCCTGCCTGCCGGACGAGGACGAGGCTGACGATGAGGCTGACGACGAGGCTAAACTGCTGTAATAGTGAAATGAAAGGGAAATGAAAATAAATGAAAATATTATATTCAGTGTAAATATGAGATAAACACTGATGTAGACGCTCTGACAGAGGGGGTCTCTGAGCTCCCTGCGCTGGAACCGAGTGTAGGTTCTCCTCCTTCAGCTCAGCAGTCCTGAACGTCTGTCTGTCAGCAGAATCTGGGGCAGTGAATCCTACAGTGGCTGAAACATCTGTGTTCTCCTCCGTCTCCCTCTGTCAGACACAGCGCACTGACTCAGTCACGGAGAACCTCGCTGTGCTGAGACTCAGATCCAGCTGAAGGGAAATAACAGAACAGAAAGAACAGAGGAGAAAGGAGGATAACAGAGGGGAAAGGAGGAGAACAGAGGAGTACAGAGAAGAACAGAGGAGCACAGAGAAGAACAGAGGAGAACAGAGGAGTACAGAGGAAACTGAAGAAGAAAGAAGGAGAACAGGAGAAAAGGGGAGTACATAGGAGAATGGAGAACAGAGGATAATAGAGAAGAACAGGAAAACAGAGGAGAATGGAGGAGAACAGAGAAGACTAGAGGAGAACGGAGGAGAATGGAGGAGAACAGAGGAGAACAGAGCGTCCTCACTCCTTTCCTGAAGGAATCAGACGAACTCTGAGTCAGTTCAATCAGCTGCTCTAATGTGCAGGTTCGATTCGCTCTGTCTGAGCTGTCGGGGGGTTTGAGGATTGGGTTGAGGGCGGTGGGTCTACACTCGTGGCTCTGCCCTGATTGACAGATGCTTAATGACCACGAGGACGGGGCGGGGGACGGTGTGGGGGAGGGGTATGTAAAGAGGGACACGGTGGGGAATCTGTGCCAAACCCTCCTCAGTGCTGCGGCTGGAAACACTGTAGAAACAGACGGACTGACTGGCTGTTCACACTGCAGATCAGTGTGGATCAGAGAAATACAGAAATACATAAAACACTGCTCTGCAGTCATTAGCATTACCATTATTAATAATAATATAGTCACTGAGTTGATTAATTAGTGCCTCAATTACGTTAGTGCAGTACACTGTACATGCTGACAGTGTGGATTAAAGTATTTAATAAGATATTAATTCATATTAATATGTAAAATAGTTTCTATGTCTCAATAAAAATAACTGGTAACACTTTATAAAAACAAACCATAATAAACAGCAACTTAATCATTAATAGTTTGTTAATAACTCTATTATATAGTTATATTAATAAGTGCTGCATTCAAATTATTAACTATTGTTAATCATAACTTACTGATGTACAAATAACCAATAAAGATTGATACTCATAACTCATAAATTCCAGACGTTGGAATATTAAACACAGTTATTTACTATATTTTTACTTTCTGATGCGTAAACTTTCCCTTAGTGCTTAATTATTAATCATTATTAACCGGCTCACTCTTTTTAGAGCATTAATAATCGTTAATTAGGGCCCGTTTATTAAGCTCTGACTTTGCAATGCTTTTATAAAGACATTGTATCAGTTATGACACTCAAAACACATTTCTGAAAAGCACTTAGTGTTTTATTTGTGACATAAAACACTTAATTAATGAATCATACAGTCTGTATTATTAACGAGTCATATACAAATAATCAGTAATTAATTTGAATTGTAGGAATTCAGTCATTAATCGTAGCTTGTTAGTGATGATATATATATTTGATACTTACAAATGTTTCCTTAATTCCTAATTAATCATTATTAAGTGGCTATTATTTACTTTTAAACACATTAATATTAATAATTGATTGGGATTTTGTTATAGAGTTGCAATGTTACTTTTTGCACTTTAATATATGATATTAATGAAAATCATTTCCAGTGTTTTCATTATGTGTATGTCGCTAAGCACTAATGCACAGATAACATTCATATATTCATTAATTTTCATTAATGAGCGCTGAGATAATGAGTTAGTAGCTATTTATGAGGCCTGTTATTATAATGAGGTGTAACACTGCGTTGTTTTACACGTTATTGCTAAATAACTGGTAGCAGGAGACTTTGAGTTCAGCACTGTGTTATTATTATTGTTATTATTATTACTATTGTGAATGTGAAACTGCAGTTGCTCGACGTTATTATTAGTTGTGCAGCTGTGTGCTGCGCGTCCTGCGGTGTATATATGATTAGGAATGTCTCCTTTAAGCTGTGTATGATAATAAATATCGCTGTTCCTGATTATGAATGTGCGTTTATGAACTGTATGATTATAAATATCCACACAGGGCTCATATGATTATGAATGTCTCTCTTGAACCCTATATGATAATAAATGTCCCCGCAGGACCTGTATGATTATAAATATCTCCTTAGCGCAGCATCGCTAATGACTTTCTTGCTGGTAGCTGTGGCGGCTCCGCGGGTCAGCGGCGGCTCCCGGAGGGCAGGAACGTGTTCGTTATGGACGCTGCCAATTAGACCAGATCATTTCAGACCAAACGAAGACGCCCCTGATCTCCTGAATCGAGCGCTGATTTGAGCGGCGCTCGGGCGGCGGTCCGGTCTGGAGAAAGTGGAGGGCTAGCGTGGCGCCGGAGCGCGGGGTTTGAGGAGATTAATTGCGGTGGGAGGCTGCGGCGGGCCGCGGGGTTTGGGGGGGGGCGTTCCGACCGTGCCTGGCTGAAGCCCTGGAGAACCTTGACTGTTCTGGCTTCATTTCAGCCGTGTCGCTCAGCCGAGGCAGCGCTCTCCCTCGCTCTCCTTCTCTTTGTTCTCATCGTGTTTGCCGTCTATGTTAACAAGCCCCGCCGGCCCCCGAGGACCCCCGTCATCATCCTTTCATAGCGACGAGCTCCGCACAATGAGAGCTCTGAGCGGAGGACGCTTCATCCTTTGGTGCGACCGTTCCTCGCCTCGCGCTAATTAATTAAGACGTGACGCCAGCTAATGTACTGGAATCGACTGGAAAAATGGAGCAGAGCTGCCTTCTGCTGCCAGTCGAGCTCCCGTGAGGAATGCGTTTGATCTCTGATGTACGTGTGATGTACGCTCATCACCATTAGAGCTGGGTCGATACTTCGATTAATTGCTGAAACTTCTAATCACTCTTTGCATCCGTGTGTATTTATCTGTGCTGATTCTTCTTCTGTCAGATTTCTTTTGTGCTGACTCGTCCTGCAGTTTTTGAGATACTGACACAAACTAACTCTGGAGTGTCCTGTCTTACTGTAGGTTGTGGGCTTGTATACATGTTTTTATTTGGACATGAGTTTTGCATCCATTTGATTTTGGGAATGAATGGTGAAACTGTTTGTGCATCACTCTTATATCCCCAAAATACAAGTACACTAGCAAAACTCTAGCAGCCACCTGGAATACCATAGCAATCTCACCCTAGCAACCGCCTGAGACAACATAGGCACTGGAATACCAAAGAAAATGGTTAGCAACAACCTAGCAAACACCTGGAACACCATTGCAAACCCCTTACTTAACATCACCCCACCTACCACCTCCAATACTTCTGCAACCACACAGCAAAACACAAGAAACCGCCTAGAATAACATATGAGCCACTTAGGTACCCTAAGGTACCACAGCAACCGCCCAGGAAAACCTTACCAGCAACTGCCTACACACCCCACCTCAAACACTATAGCACCGTACTACCTTGGACACCTTAGCAACCACTCAGCAACATCCTAGCCATCACACCTTCACAACCACCTGAAACACTGTAGCAACCACCTGAGAACACCCTAACATCCAGCCTAATTACCACTGCAACTGCTCAGCAACACCTAACTACCACCAAAAAAACAGAAACTGCCTAGTCACACCTTAGCAACCACCTCAAACTCTGTAGCAACCACCTGGGAACACTCTAGCAACTACCTTGGATGCCTTAGCAACCACTCGGCAACACCCTAGCCATCATACCTTCACAACCACCTGAAACACTGTAGCAACCACCTGGGAACACCCTAACAACCAGCCTAATTACCATTGCAACTGCTCAGCATCACCCTAACTACCACTTAAAATTCCACAGCAACCATCCAGCACAGTAACACTGGGCTGTTTTTATCAGTTTAGGTTCCATATATGAGCTGTAGTCTGAGAAGTGTTTACATACTTCATCAAACTCTTATATCACTACATATATATGTATGTATATATATATATCACTGCATACATGATATATCACTGCAGACTGTATGCTGTCGTGCTGGCGGAGGAAAAGTGAGAGGCCTGTTTGTGTCTGTTATGATTCCGTAAGTAAATTTTCCTGGCTGTAAAACTCCCGGCTCGTTCGGTCGGCGTCCTGAAGTCCCGCTGCGTTTGTGCTGCGTTCTTTAATGGAAACATATGAGCAGAATTTATCATCGGCTCTTGACAACAAAGAGCCGAGGATTGTTGTGTCGCTCTCAGACAGGTTTAACTGCGGCTCCGCTTTGTTCTCCAGCCGAGAAACACAAACAGATTAAGAGAGAGAGAGAGAGCGCCGCGCTGGACGACCACGTTCTGCCTTCAGAAGTGCCGAGAGTTCCACACTGAGGACCTAAAGAGCTGAAGAGTGGAGCGCTCGGGCGGAGATAAGCTGCAGAACGGTTTTGTAACACTTTAACACTGGCAAACGTGTTTACTTCCCTCCTTTAACTCTTTAACTCAGACTTTATACACGTAAGAAAGTACCGAACACCTCGCAAGTGGTCTGGTATATCGGCCGAAGTGGAGTAATCACAGTGCTCTCCGTGATAAAGGTTCTCATTTTTATAAACAACGTTCTTTAGATTTTAATCACTGACACTTAACGATCTTTAGATTTCTATCACTGACACTTAACGATCTTTAGATTTTAATCACTGACACTTAACGATCTTTAGATTTCTATCACTGACACTTAACGATCTTTAGATTTTAATCACTGACACTTAACGATCTTTAGATTTTAATCACTGACACTTAACGATCTTTAGATTTCTATCACTGACACTTAACGATCTTTAGATTTTAATCACTGACACTTAACGATCTTTAGATTTTAATCACTGACACTTAACGATCTTTAGATTTCTATCACTGACACTTAACGATCTTTAGATTTCTATCACTGACACTTAACGATCTTTAGATTTTAATCACTGACACTTAACGATCTTTAGATTTCTATAACTGACACTTAACGATCTTTAGATTTCTATCACTGACACTTTTAACGATCTTTAGATTTCTATCACTGACATTTTTAACGATCTTTAGATTTCTATCACTGACATTTTTAACGATCTTTAGATTTCTATCACTGACATTCTAAACAATCTTTAGATTTTAATCACTGACACTTTTAACGATCTTTAGATTTCTATCACTGACACTTTTAACGATCTTTAGATTTCTATCACTGACATTCTAAATGATCTTTAGATTTTAATCAGACACTTTTAACGATCTTTAGATTTTAATCACTGACACTTTTAACGATCTTTAGATTTCTATCACTGACATTCTAAACGATCTTTAGATTTTAATCACTGACATTCTAAACGATCTTTAGATTTCTATCACTGACACTTTTAACGATCTTTAGATTTCTATCACTGACATTCTAAATGATCTTTAGATTTTAATCAGACACTTTTAACGATCTTTAGATTTTAATCACTGACACTTTTAACGATCTTTAGATTTCTATCACTGACACTTT